CATCCTTATATTGGACGAAAGGAAATAAAATGCTGCACATGAAAATATAGGTTTCCATTAAAAAAAAATATAGTTATGCCAGCTCGAAACAATTTATTTTGGAAGTGGTAGATTTCAGTGAATTTGAAATCAATATGTTTTCATTAATGGTGGAATTGTAGGCCATTTTTTCCACAAAGTATGTGTGAAAATAGCACAACCCTGTGTGTTTTCGTTTCGGAGATATTCAAAACGGCGCAGAGTACTGCAACCGCCTATCTATTGATTTAGTGCGAATTTAATGGAAATCGATGCATTTTAGACATAATATATAGTTAACAAAGTAGTATCTAGTACCAGAGAATAGTTCAAATTATCCTCCATTTTATCTCAGTGTAAAAATGTGTTTTTGCAAAATCGAAGAAAATGATTCATATTTTGAGATCTTAAATTGAGTTCAACATTTTAATGAAGGAGTAAAAAGGATTAGTAGGTACTACTAGTATAGGTAATACCTAGATGCAGGTGTGTAGCTACAGATGGACCCTGATGGGGTAAGGTTCTTGCATTGACACTTCTGGCTTATATGTTAACCACCCTGAATATTAATTTAATCCCATATAACATTAAAATTAAAATCTCAAACATTCAACTTCACATAACCCAAGGCGATTTACTTGAATGCAAAGTCATGGGGTGTTTTTATTTAATGATTCAAAAATATTGACCACATTCGTTTGGCATCAAACGAGTCCTGTTTGCTGCATATGGGGTGTTGGGCGGCGGAGCTACGAATTTTCAAGTGCTGTCGTGTTCGTAAGCTCGAAACTTCTCAATTTTAACTTGAAGTTCAAATAAGAGGGCTAGAAAAAATTCACTTATACATATATTACTATTTTTAATTATCGGTTTTAGATTAAATTATAATAAAAATTTATGTCAGTTTTAGGATTTTTTCTATTTTTTCCAGGAATTATTTTGCGATCTGAAAATGACAGCCTCAGAACTCACTAAGGAAATGGTTGGAATTGGAGAAATATTTTGCAATTTGGACAGTTTTGGAAAAAGATAAGTGAAATTTTTTATTCTTTTGTGTTTCCATACGGCTTGCTTTTCATAAAACTAGGAATTTTTCTTAATTAAGCAAGAGTCAGTCGTCATTGAAAAATTTTCACTTAGGGTAAGATATATGTACCTTTTTCTTCATTATTTTTTAAAACTATCGAAAAAAGAGTATCAACACAAAATTCCAACAATAAGGTTACTTTTTAAATTTAACAATTTAAGCGTTCATAAATGTATTTAACATTTTTAGAAGCAAAAAATTTTAAAAGCATACAAAACAGAAAATAATCCAATGATTACTGCATACTTTAAATATTCAATTGGAATTTTAAACTTAACAAAATTTCATCTATAACTGAGAAAAGCTTTTTTTCCGAGTGTAATTTTCTTTTCTTTCTTTTCCGAATACTTGCTCTCTCTGCCAGACAAAAATATTGCTAAAGGATCTGTTTTTATTAATTGTGTAATTGATAAAGTGTGAATTTATTTTTTAATTGGTACTGGGTAAGTCTTTTTTTGAATGGCAATTGCGTTTTATTGCAATTTCATTTTTCGGTACAATTAAGTTAAAATTAGACAAAAATTATCTCATTAGTTGTAGGTAGTTGGTTTAATTATTTATTCTGGCATACTTATTCGAAATTTGGTTATTACGGCTTACGTCTTCAGAATTATGTTATGAAAT